ACATCATAGCCTGGTGAGTCCAGAGTCTGTTCCTTTCTTATTTCCTTCTGCCTTCCATACCTAAAGTTGTGGCCTTGTATGTACTTCAGAGCCAGCTCTCAGCCTCCACCATAACTCTAGCTTCTTTTCTCTCGGTTTGGTCCCCCCTCCCACAGCGTGGCCTTTAAGGGCTAGTTTAATGTTAACCTGGAGCCAGCAAGTCTAGGAAGAGCTTCCTATCTCTTCACAAAATCTATGCCTCTATTTACCTACCATCTCTAGGGATTCTTTTTCCTGCATTCTGCAGATTTTAGCTTAACAACATTGCCGTTTTTTTCTGCCTTCCAGCAACTTCCTGAATCACCCGTGTCACCCATATCACGTAAGTGTGCTCTCACCATCATTTTTGTACTTGAAGCATTAATACAACAGACCACCAATCATTTCTAAACATTCCAGGCTGCTCTCATCAATAGTTGGATTCCTTCTTTCAAATTTGCCTCCTCAGATGCATATCCCTCCATCCTTTGTACCGCTGCTTGGCCTCCCACTAAAAAAGGAAAAGATGATACATAGCTATTAATTGATAATATCAATGTCCTGGTTCCGGTGATGGATTAGGTGCCATCAGGCTGTTTTCAGATCCCAGCAACCACATAGATTCTTGTGATGGTTACTTAAATCTTGCAGAGATACACTTATCTGCAGTAAAGATTGGATAGCTTTGCTAAATGTCTATGGAGATTGTCAGTCATCCAGGTCACGGTTATCCCAAAAGTGCTTTTTTCCAGAAGCAACTGGACTTTCTGGTTTTTCTTTGAAGATGTTACGCTTCTCATCCAAGAAGCTTCTTCGGCTCTGATCTAATTCCCTCTGCTGCTATCTTGAGAACTTCTGCATTTTTGCAGCCTAATGTTGCAGAGTACATTCAAAAGAAAAAAAAGGGTTACGTTTCTCAAATATTGTTAAGACATAGAAATTCAAATCCAAATTTGATCAATTCCATACTTAACATATAGTTAGTCAAGAAGTTGCCTTTCTTAGAGATGGGATAGGAGTCTATTCACTTATCTTCATCATTAAATAACTCCCCAGACATAAAAAAGAAAGGAAAACGTCCATCTGATCTGACCAAAAGATCCTAGAGGAAGAGAATAGTCTCATCTTCTGAAAATTATTTTGGATATACTTTCTCAGTCCTAAGTTGACATACTTGTTAAAGCTCTGCCTCTGTAATACAGGGTTTGCACCCTGTGTGTCCCTGGATTATTCCCTGATACCAGGGAACATGAAACCGCAAAATCAGTGGCAGTCTCCCACCATTTCCACGTGAAACCCCTAATCCTTTCCCACTGATCGTGCTGTTAAGCAGTGTTGGGATTTGTAGTCCAGGCTGTCAAGCACCAAATGTCCATATCCAAGCAAAGAATAATTTAGACACTTCGCTTAAAAGGCAACATCGTCCTATCATTTCAAATAGCTATAGAGAACAAGCTTTTCACTGCCTTGTTGAACACCTGCTGGTAACTTCCAGCTAAAAGGAATGCCAGCTTGGCCCAAAAAGGCCTCCAATGAATTTCCCTTAATGTATTTATGGGTCAGTATAGAGGCTTGGATATCTTGCCAAAGAAAAGGAGGACTTGCCAAGGGAAGGAGAAACTAAAATAATAATTTAAAAACCAGAAAAAAAAAATCCAAGCATCATTGCTAACTGCTACTTCAGAAGGATTCTGAGCCAAAGGAGGAAAGAGTTGTTCTACACACACACACACACACACACACACACTTTCCTGTTTCACCCTCGGGAGTTGCGTGTGTGTCTCTGTGTGAGGGACGATTAATCCACTGTCAGTGTAGATTATTGCTGACATGAGGGCCTGAATTGTGACAAGATGGATCGCAGGGTTACTGCAGCAATGCCGTGAGAATCCGGCCCCTTTGCGTGACTGCCTGCCTTCTTCCCTTCCAGCTGCTTTTTCACCTTGGGACAGGCGGCCCTTAACTCTTTGCTGGCCACTTGCAAGGGAAAAAAAGGAAGAGCCGGAGGGCCAAGCAGAGGCACGTCTCTCTTCTGAAAAAAGGCTGGTGCCAGCAGTGGCGCAGTGCTTGGCTGAGCCACTGCTGGTGGCTTACTTACTCTTGGTTTGTTGTCAGCTGCCCATGTCATACAGAAGCACCAGCTCTCAAAATCAAGAAGCTGAGCTGCATAAAAATCCGATGGTCTGAAAGCAATTTGAGGATGTTTATGTTTACACATTCCTTCCGTTATTAGATTCACACACACAGGCACACAGGCAGATCCCGTACTGCATATAAAAATACAGAAAACGCGACTGGTGCCAACATTGGGAGGTGTTTAATGCAGTAGCTTCTCAGCTGCGACTGGATCTGGCCATTACATAACCCTGCACCTCTCAGTTTAAGACTACTTTATAACTGTTCTGCAAAGTAGTTTGCCAAGAGAGCAAGGAAAAAGTAATAACGTTCACAGCCCTCCTAAGCTTGGGTGGAAGTTTGTTAATGGTTTTTCATGAACATGTTTGTGAAGTCACCAGGAACTGACCTGGACTTGAAAATTTCTTTAATGTAAGGAGATACACCATCATGTTACAATACTCTGTTTGATCAATGCAGTATTTCTGTAGGGAAACAGAAACCACTTCATGCCTACAAAACTCTCTTCCACAGCTGAAACCCACGTACAAGTTTCAGGCTTCAGACCAGCTCATGAAAGTAGAACCAACCGGGCCAGATCACAGAACTCGTTGAAATGTTTTAAAAGCTTTGGCATGGAAGGGCTACAAAGCTAATGCTGAAACTATACTGATGACCCTGAGAATGAGTGGCACAATCCATAGGAAAATTATATTAAACATGAATAGGGATTATGATGTAGACGTAACATACCGGTAAAACTATTGCAGAGCTTTTGTTCTTACAGCAAGCACTAAATAGAAGCTGGGGATGGTCTCCAAGTTCTGTAATGCTTCTCCATTTGTTGTACATTGTTACCTGGTGCTCAAATGTAAGGTCTCTTCTCCCCACCCCCACCCCCGCTCTCTCTCATCTATCTAAAACCAGTACATTAATCTATCATCTATATCTCTAAAAATGCTTAAAATAGTACGCGAAAGAACTGCGTAATAACAAAAGAACATGGAACGTTAAGGAAAGGTAATACTATATAAAGCAGCAGGTTGCATTTTCCAGACTGTCCAATAGAAGATGCCACACCTGGTACATATGAGCTGCATGTCTGGGTATCCATTACATTAGTCATATATAAGCATATATTAAACTCTTAAACTGTTGGTAAAAACCAGATCGTTGACATGAAGTACCAATCTCTATTTTTACACAAATTGTGTTCACATACGGAAAAGCTTAGCATATGCTTTTGAAAATCACTTCTGTGGCCACACACAGTGATGATTTCAGCCAATTCTCTTCCCACAAATTTGCTACAAGATGTGGATTTTCTTTCCAAAAATGAGAGATTTCTCAATAACACAGGCTACCCATTTGTTCCTCCAACTGAGAGCCTGGCTCAGTTCCTCTGGCACAGCAGTTTCCTCACATCTCTCACATATATTAGGGAGCAGTTAAATTTCTGGACAACATGCTAATTGTACAGCCCACTGTGTTGCCAGTTCTCTTGAATATGTACAGCAGATGTGTTTGATCTCCACAAAGCCACAATGGGATGTTCGTGACTACTAACTAAACCAGTGTACTGAAGCTGTTTGGGCCAGTTTAGACAGCAGAATGCAGCCTCCCCTCCACCTCTCAATCTACTGTATTGTTTGGAGAGCAAAAAGCAGTTTATTAGTCAGATTTCCTCAGTGTCTGCAGTCCTTAAACCTTAGTTATCATTTACTTTAAGATTGCAGCCTAGAGCATATTCACTAACTTTGGATACTCAATATTCAGCATTCAGATAACTACATCTAAATTTTAATCTAGGATATATTCTAAATGTTGAGTTGATATTTAAACAAGTATTTTCAGTTCATGTTTATTTATATCCTGCCTTTATTATTTTTACAAATAACTGAAGATGCCAGACATAAACCACATCATCCTATTCCCCCCCCTCCCCCCAACAACCCTATGAGGTGGGTTGGGCTGAGTGTGATGCCCAAGGTTAGCTGGCTTTCATGGCTAAGATGGGACTGTCTTTCTAGTCTGGTTGCCTTTAGCCACTAGACTAACGAGATTTCTGTCTTAAAAAAAATCTGTTGACCTTGTGCCACTCTATTACAGGTTTGTAGAGAAGCAGAGATGGCTTCAGATACAATAATACTGTTTCCTAATGTGGCCAATCTCTCTGATGTGAACAGGCAATGTGCGCATTGGCATTAAAGCCAATTTTTGCAGAACCCCTGCCAAAAGATGCTAATGGTCTTGGACCTCAACACTACCTTAGACCCCATGGGTGCTTTCGTTTGCAGTACAGACATATGGCTATATAATGCCCAATCAATAATTAACAAAGGCAAGTAGCATTTGTCTAGTGAGGATTAAATTTTGTTGAAAACAGTTGATTTCCCCCACACACACACACACAAAATGGTACCTCAGCACTCGGCAGCTCTGAAAGTCGCTGAATTTGGTACTCATTGCATTATGATGTGAACATTTTGTCCCGTCGTTTGTTCAGTACTTGACACACAAGGTAGAAGTTGTTGAAGTTGGCTGCCTCGCTGCCTTTTCCAGCCGAAACAGAAGTCATGTGTTAAGTCACATAGTTTGTTTGGCACTCATAATACTCATCGTACCTCCCAGAACATGGGTGTTTTCTAGTTTTTCTCTGTACCTTATTATCACCTATAAGGAGCCATTACATTTGTGGAAATCACTAAGTAAAAAAATTCAAATGGAAGTTATATTATTTGCATAATACTGTAGATTTTTTTTTTTCAGATGAGATTTCCTACATTACTCTTTCATCATTTTGTCTCAAAATATAAATAAGAATCAGAAGACAAATGTAGCAATCATCAAAATTGCAACAATATGATTAACTTTAATTAAATCAATTATAATTATGAAAATATTTACAAGTGGAAGACAAAGAACATACCTTTAAAATGTTTACAGCCTTTGCTTATAACAGCAGAATAGCTAGCTTTTCTTGGCTGATTGCAACATTTCAGTTTACAGCTGTGTAAGTATATATATATATATGTATAAAAATACAACTTTTAGTTGTCCTTGAAAAAGAAACTATAAATATAAGAAAATTTCTTGCTAGCCATTCGACAAATGTTGCTTTCATTTTATTAGATAGTTCCTTTACTGAACAAATTTCTTCCATTTTATTTCGGCTTCAATCATAAAAATCAGGAAGTGTTGAATGTTTCACACTTGATATATCCATAAACTGCATAAATTCTGTAAATATTTCTTAGAGTTGTCACTATTCTATTGCATTACACAACAAAAAGATCTTAGTAGGTTATCAGGTATGTTTTAGAAAGTCCAGGAATCTTCTACTGCTTATCCACAATAACAATTTATGATTGTTTCTTCTGGTAGTATAGCAGAAGTTTCATGAAGAACAGGATCCTATGGAAAGAAATCCCTCTTTGGCCCAATCTTGTGCCATAAATCAAAGAGACAAGTTCTTCAGTCTTTAGCATCTCCTATTCCATCAGCATTAATAGCAAACATGGCTTCTGCTTCAGGGAGGCAAGGTGAATCGTATATCTTGCATATCCTAGTTTCACCACGACCTTTTCTCAAGTAAAGCCTAACCAGACAAATTAATGCAGTTGTTAAAATAAAAAGTAATGAATTAATAAATAAAACACTAGACATTTATTCAACATGTTCCATTCTATCAACCAGAGAATATTCTGGTCAACATTCAATTGATTATTGGTGTTTTAAGGTTTTCTTCATCCATTAATACTACTGGAAACTCAAACAAAATGGTCAGGTAGAATAGGTAAGTGAGTTAAAAGGCTGATTTGACAAACCAAAAAAAATCCTATTTCATTATCTTTGTTAACACATAGTTACATAACCAAATCCAATGCTGAACACTGGCCTCTTGTATTTTTTGCTGCTTTCTCTTACTCCTCACAAGTGCTACAGATAAGTACTGTCCCAGTGCCATGAGTCAAATAAAATTGGTTCCCTACGGAAAGTTCTGCATTTGGCCTGATTGCCCAACGGCACATTGATGTGCCAAGAACATCAACAGCAGAGCACAATATTATCCAAAACACTTGTGTATTTGAATATCTGAAAGGGCTAAAGAAGTGATTAAGTGGCCTTCTATTAAGTTATTGCAACTTACAAATATGCATATTTATATTAAATATACGATTATTTTTGCTTTCAACTACTGTTTTACAATATACCATTATGACAACTTTGTAGGGTTATTTTCTTCATTAAGTTGGTAGCTAAAGATTCAAACTTAGCTTTATACTTCTAGAAGATACAAAGCAGAAGTCCAGTATAGTAAAAGGTAAAAAAATTATACGATCTGAAGAGAAACCAGAGTATAGGGGGAATTTCTTTGTTTCCTGCCTTTTTCCTATGTGCTCTATGTCCCCTCTGTGATTTATCAGATGATGTTCCTGTTGTGTTGATTTACTGGACTATGCTCCTGTTTGCCTGTCTTATTTACTGTAAACATATTTCCTTATATAAAACTGGTTTGTGTCAGCATTTCTGACTCCATTTGGACACCGGATGTGCAATTCTCTGACACATTAACATTAATTTTCTACATAGTTACTGTATTCTCCAAAGCTTGCATTCACTTCCAAATATTTAATTGAATGTTTTGAAGACGTCACATAACAATTGCTTATAACTATTATACAGTATTCATAATCAGGATTACTTTTAATTAGATCTTCTGCAATTCCATCATGTAACCCTTTTTGTCCTCTTGGAACTGTATGACTACTGTTCACATATGCTTCTAATTCTTGAGGTTATCATCTCTAGAACATCCTCTGAAATCTATAGACAAGAGTGGACCTGAGGAGGCCACCTTGTGGTGGAAATGAGTTACAGGAAGCACAAAGATTCTAGGTTTTCTACTACTTCTACAGCATCTGCTATTTGTTGTAATGCATTTTTTTTTATTGTAAAGTCTTTTACAAAACAAAATGTAACTTTCCATAATTTTTATCTCTAAGTTGTTTGTCACCGGCTCTCTCCAACTGATGTCACGAACTCCACCACCTAATTAAATTCTTGAATTTATTTTATAAGGTAGATCTAATGCACACCTGGATTTCTTGAACCAGGGTGGTTTATAAAATAAGCAGACCTTTACAGAGAATATTTAATAGCTTGAGGGGTATTATTTTATGTTCTGCTTTTTAATCGAAAGTATTTTTATTCTGTTTTTCTATGTAAAAAGCACTCAGATGTTGGTGATCTTGAGTGAGAATAGAAGCTACAAATCACCAATCTCTATTTAAACAAAACCTGGCTTCACTGTCTACAAAAAACTGACATCGCATTGAAGTTTCATTCTAATTTTCACAAAATTTCTAATTAACTGAAAGCATGAAAACTGTTTCACTAAAACTAGCATCTGCAATCCTACCTGGTTGTTGAAGCGTGTGCGATAATATTCCCTCCAATAGGTTTCTTAGGATCTGCAGCAAACATTGCAGCTCCATCTACTTGTGCTACCACCTGGTTTGTGATTACAACTGCTACACCAAACTGTTGTGAAAGAAACATACAATCAGTTTCAGCTTCTTCACTATAAACTGGGGAAAAAAATGAAGAGAGAGAGAGAGAGGCACAGTGGCTTAAGGAAGCTGGATCTGTGCACCAGAAATTGTCATCACTCCAGTGGTTTGAGCCCTGGAAGTACCACAGAACAGGGTGAGCTCCCGTCACTGACCTCTAACTCCTACCCAGCATTTTGAAATCATTATTGCGAGTAGATAAATGGGTACTGCTTTGTTGGGAAAGGGTAGCTGTGCAAGAATAGGACCCCTGCCTGGACATGAAAGCCAGATAGGCAGAAGAGGCCACAGAAGATGTCATCAATCCGAACGCTGCTAGCCAGCTGGTGCAAGGTAATTTGCTGCATGGTGCACCGTGGATGAGCATGCAGGCACAAAATATAATGAACTAGCAATTAGGTTGTCAGGATTAATCTGTAAAGTGTAGATTCCTCCCCCCAATACAAAATAAATAACTGAAAAATCCCCAAGTGACTTGGGACCACACATTGCTACAAGGATCTTTGTGCAAAACATTGCAAGTGGATCTAATGATTACCTCATCTGCAAGTCGAAGCAACATGCGCAGGAATCTGGCTAAATGCATCTGCCTGGCTGATAATTCCCCTCGGCCAGAGTAGTCTGTCCGGTAAAGAGCTGTGGCGCTGTCCACTATCAGTAAAGCATATCTAAAAGAAAAAAGAATATTTTCATGTACTGGTTTTAATTCTTGCCCTCCAAACATGTTTGCTTTTCTGGATGGACTGGCCAATTGAATACATAAGTATCAAAAAAAGGAATACAGGTAGTCCTTGACTTACAACAGTTCATTTAGTGACCATCCAAAGTTACAATGTCACTGGAAAAAGTGACTTCTGACCATTTTTCACACTTAACGACCATTAGTCACGTGAGCAAAATTCAGGCGCTTGGCAACTGACTCATTTATGATGGTTGCAGTGTCCCAGGTTCATGGGAATGGGTTTTGCGACCTTCTGACAAGTAAAGTCAGTGGGGAAGCCAGGTTCATTTAACAATTGTGTCACTAACTTAACAAGTGCAGTGATTCACTTAACAACTGCGGCAAGAAAAAACTAGCAAAATTCACTCAACACGTTTAGCTCAGCAACAGAAATTTGGGGCTCAATTGTGGTTATAACTCAAGGACTACCTTTATACCCTACTGCTTCTCCTGAGCAAGATAAAGCCATGTTAGCAATATTTATAGCCTTACCAGGATGAAAACCAAACCAAATGACAACTGAAGCAGTGAGAACAACCTTGATTTCCTTGGTATCCATTGAAGTTTCACCTTGAGTTCTGTAAAGCAGGCATGGCTAAATAATGACAAGCAGCCTCTGAACAGCTGTCCATCATCTCTTGCCAGGATAATGTGTGGGGGCCTTTGAGGCGGTTTTTGGAGTTCTGGACACTGCCTGGATTAGTCCCTCCATTTTTTTTCTGGTGAGATTTCAGAGGTGGTTCACTGTTGCCTCATTCTTGCTAAAGTTGACCGAAGGAGACTGGTCCAAAGTCACCTAGCTGGCTTATGCCTAAGGCAATCTAGAATTAACCATCTCCCAGTTTCTAGCCTGCCGCCTTTAATCACACCACCAAACTGGCTTCATCAGAATGATACTATTTGAAATGATTAAAGATAAAACATGGTTGTAGTCAGTTAAAAATATCCTTAGATATGTTAGAATTAATATCAGAATAGAGTATAACGTATAACTATTGAACCATTGTAATACATATTGTTTTGCCTTTAGCTAAGATTCTTAGAAGCAGGAAAACCTGTGGTAATCACAGCTTGTTTTGAAAAGCAATTTTATCATCAGAACTTTTATAGTGAAAGAACCAAATAAGTTTTTTTATGCCATTATATTTCTAATTTGTATAAAGTGAGGCATATCCTAAATTGGACATAATTTACATATAAATATTTTAATTTGTTAAAGGAAAAACTCTTGTTTCCTTGACTTTTTTTTTACCTTGATTCTGTCATCATAGCAGATGCTTGATATAGCAGCTGGGTTTGATGGTCTGTATTAAATCCTCGCGCATAAGCCACATTATCAAGAACATCACTACCAGACAAACCATATCTGGGGAAAGAAGGCAAAAATAGATCAATTTTACAGGAGTGGAAATAAATGCATGTGACTTAAAAACTGCCAACAGATAGCTCTACAACTCTTCTATTCAAGATGCAACACCAATAATTTCCAGATAGAAATACAGACCTCTCAGCCACTGCTAGCAAGCGCTCTGGACGGAAAGTGCCTTCTGTGTCTATGTACATGGCCTTCCCTTCACCACCACCTCGATCAATAGGGAGCTTAGAGGGGAATAAAGACAAATTCGGTTTACAGAAGTGAACTAAATTGCAAAGTTGCATCTTTCTACATTATGGCTATTCCACGCAACATTTTGTATTAATGTTATACAAGGTGACCCTCTCCCCATCCAGTTACTCATCCGTTCTCTAATTTTGCTGCAGAGGAGGATCTCCCAATCTTCTAGGGCCAATCTAGTGTGTGTGTGAGAAAGAAATTATCCGCCCTGTCAGTGAACACACATTGTTGGCTATAATTTATTATATTAGGCTGTTGGGGAGTTGTCTTATCATCATCTAGAAATACAAACTGATAACCAAACAAACCAAACTATATTATTTTGTTTGTAATTCTTAAAAGACTTTATTAACAAGTTGGTTAAAAGGAAAATGAGGAAAGGGGTAACTGAAGAGGCCAATTTAAGATAAGCTTTAGATGACAACAATCAAACTACTAAAATATCTGTAAACCATCTAATATAAAGCTTATATACCAGAATTAATATTTAGTTGATGAATTTTATGGGGCACGTTTCACCAGATAAAACATTAAAGAAAATTGAGGAAAAATAAATTCATTCTAAGGGCTATCAGCTGAATTATGACACAGCAAATAAATCCACTGTCGTGGAAAGAGCCAGTGGAAATTCGTTGTAGAAATAATTAAGAACCATATTCTATTATAGTATACATTTTTTTAAAATCTAAATTTTCAGAGCATCTACCCAATCTACAAGTTCCCAGCCCTGGATCTGCTATCAAATATCTCATTTAGCTTTCAGCTTCTTTAATGTCCTTGTGCATAATCTAAAGATGTCCTCCTAATTGGCATATTTAAAGAACTGCAGCATTCTCCACCTCAGTGAAACCAAGATTTCCGAATCAGGGTCTTCAACCAAACATCTAATTCAGCCTTCACAGTCAAAAGGACTACAGAATTCTAATTTTACTGCATTATCTTCCCAGTCCCGAGAACCATGGAATTAAAATACATGGAATAAAATAAATTTTAAAGTTTTTTCTGCACAGTATTACACAAGGAAGAATCTCAGTTGCTTACTTGACAGGTTACAGCCAAAGTGTGACATATCTGAGTCTTTCCTGTGCGGAATTCTCCAAACATCTCTGTTATTGACCCAGTTTCTATTCCACCTGGACAAGAAGTACAAAGTTCAGGCATATCACAATAACTATAGACTTCCAAATATGCCCATGAGATTATGTATCACACATTTAAATTCAAACGAGATCTGAAAACAGATCTGAAAATCTTTATTTCTGCAGATATATCCCATATTGAA